AAGGTCTGTAGAGGGCTGTTCAGATTGGTGGGGAGTCTGGATAAAAATCTTACAAGGTCAAAATAACGGAGGAAAAAAAAGCAATTTTACCTTATTAAACGGTGAGCAGTGGGAGTAAGTGGGTGTCTGTGTGGGTCCCATGGTAGGCTGCAGGGGCTTATGTTAAATGCTCGAAACAGATATCCGTATTACACAAGAAGATTCAATTTATACGTAAGTATAACGTTCTTTATATGCCAAGCTATTTTTGTTAATATTAAAGACATACTATGTAAACAAGTTTAATATTTTAATTGTTTTTGTCTAACATGATATAGACATAAATTCTCTTTACACTATCTTATGCAACAACATTAACCATGGAGTATCATCAAATAAAGGTGGCTGGTTATTACAAACTAAGCAAACCAGTCCAGTAATTTGATAAAAATTTATTGTTCCATCAGATGTATACATTAAGGAAAAAGTATTGTAATTATTTGTACTTCAAGCCAAGTTTAATATAAGTAAAATAGTCTTATATTTTGTAGATAAAAAAATTTAAACTTTGTATGTAAGACTTATGGATGTAGGTTTATTTAAAAACTGTTCTTCAATCCCCATATAGTAGAACTTTTATTAATGTTCTTTAAATGTAATTTAAACGTTAAAAATAGAAGATACATGCAACCAGTTTTTCATTATTGCACAAATACAACATCGTACAAGCCAGAACTTTTTTATGTCGTAAAAATAAATTTTAAAGAAAATGTAAAATTTTTCCCAGAAAATCATGGAATAACTAATAATTGTGGGCGTTGGCTGATGAAGGGCATGGAGAGGTGGAGCCTTACTAGTATCCATACATACGCATATGAGCTTTAAAGTACATTTTTTACGTGCAGATTTTCTCGTACGTTAAGTAATTCATGTGTGTCATAATGGTATTCATAAGTATAACAACATTTTGACTGGAAGTATACAGTTGCGTCAAACTACGCTGATATGTAATCTGACTGACCTTGGTGTTACAATGCATGTACGCATGGTTTTTGCATTTATTCATAAATAAATTGTATTATGTTAATAAATACATAGATTTGTTTGCTTGTTGATTGTCGAATTCTAATACTGAATGCTGCTTTTGAAATTGTTACTAAAAAATGTCTTACTGTACTAAAAATTAATGTGTAAAATTTCCGAAATAATTAGTGAAATAATTTGTAATTTAATTCTTCAAAATTGAATTTGTATTAGATATTTCTTATATTGCTTATTTAAAACTACATTATCAATGATACCACACCTTAATTGCACATGTCATAAAAATGCAATCCTGTTGTAATGTGATTTCTGAATATATGAAATTTAAAAAAAAACTATAATTATTACAACCTACTATTTCGTTGTCAATGCAGTTTTGCAAATATATTGTTGATTGGTAGCTTTATTACTCGCTTTGGTGCTCTTAAAGTGCCCCTTTAATAAGAAATCACTCTTTAACGCCTTTCACCTGTCCTCTTAAGTTTTAGTCGAATCCTGAATTCCACGTCCAATGAGTACATTATACAGATCAGGCATGACGCGTTGGTTTATTTGACTTGGATATATTCCACGAACATAAATAGTCTTGGACATTAACAGAAATATAATGAATACTTTTGAAAGTCTGGCATAACAGTACCACAGTATGTACTCAAAGGATAGAGGCTTATTCTCTTTCTTTACCTGATAATACGTACAAGATGTTGACTTAGTTATCTCATATAGACTTTTCTCTACGTAAGTTAAGCTTGATTGGATTCCTTATAAAATTTCACGTTTTTCTTTTTTTTTTTAATTTTTAAGGACGTTCGGTAGAGATAGCGGGAGGAAATATTTGCGGGGAAAGGGGAAACCAGCGATGAGTGAAGATTTGACAACGCCGTACGGGTCTTCAATGTGTGAGTGCTTATGTACACGCATCAGGTGTCTGCTTGTCTGCTGCGTAGGTTACGACAGAGTTATACATGTATGTTTTTGTGATAAAGCAGTAGGTATTTGACTTTGATTCGTTATAAAAATGTAATGAAAATGATTAAATAAGTAATTAAAAAGACTTGTGACCGTTGTATTCATATTCGTAGATTTTATTCGTAAAAATGCCCAAAACCAAAGAGTATAACCTCCAAAGTACGACAAATGAGAAAGGAACAGAAATAATCATAAATTTGAAACTTCATAAGAACAATAAATAACGTGTTATTAAAATACATTGTTATTTTCTTATGGGGAGGGGTAGGCGTAATGAACATACGCTTATACACATGTATAAGATTGTATTTTGTACGAAAATGCGTAAAATCTACGATAATATTGAAACATTTACTGATTGACGTCCCAGAGCATTTTGAATTTCTCGCCACTTGCGACGTTGCCATTGCGTTTCTATCGAACTATTATTAATTTTTTTATACATTTATGAATTAGAGGATCGTCGCGAAACTTGGTATGTATTAAACTCATGACATTATCTGTGACAAATAAAAAAAATTGGTGAAATTCACTGGGACAATTTGCTTAAAACTGAGTTTTAATCAGTTTTCCCATAAGCAGCCGTGTTAAAATGACTGAGCTTTGAAATTGAATATCTCGAAGACAACACAGACAAATCTTTTAAAATTTTGACTGGTTTATTGCAACAACAACAAGAACGTCTGGTCAAAATTTCAGAAAAATTCACTGGAAAATTCTATCTCTATCGAACGCCTTTAACAATGGTCTATCAAATTTTTCAATGACACTGAACAAAAAAAATTGTTATGGAAAAACAAAAAAAAATTAATGAGGTACAAGCACAGTTCACATAATTATACCTAAATCTTGCTATTTGAGAATAAGAAAAAAAATTCAATACTTTAAATTCCAAATGAAATCGTGTAAATATCCATACAAATACTGTCACGCAATATGACAGATGTATTTGGAGAAATAAGAGGAGAGATTGCTAGAACTTATAGCCAATAGCCTGGGCAAAAGTAAAAAGATTTCCTAGTGTAAGTATTATGACTGTCAGTAGGTTGGTGAGCATCAATAAAATAACCACAAGTTATTTTAAGCTAAAGATTCTATTAATAAAAGTCAATCACTATCTTTTCTACCTTCCGTGTCTAACACAAATCAACTATAGCAAAAACCGGTGAAACAAAAACAGTGAAAAACGGGAGGGAGTGTGCACATGACGAACAACAATTTGAAAGTTAGGAGTATAGCTAGGCGTAAGCTTAGCCCTCAAGTGGCACCATAAGCTTCCTGTCTTAGGACTAAGCCTAACTTCAAAATTAGCACCAATATTTAAACTCAACAACTAGATATATTTTTCATAAAACTGCGTAAGAGGTATACGTTTTTTTCATAAGGTACTTCATTTATATAATTAGATAATTCATTCACAAGTTAGTTTGGATTCAAACAACTGTTACGTCGGCGCAACGTACCATTCGAGCCTAAGCTTTCGCTTAATAGCTCGGGACTCGCACTGGACGCGTAGGTGGAACGCGGGGCTAAAAGGTTGTTATTTTTCTTGTCTGAGTATTTGAAAGGGGGTGAGGGCGACCGTTTTGCTTGAATCGACGCGATTGTCAAGCAATAATGCGATGTACTTGTTCGCGGCGCGCTTCGGATTTGTCGAGGATACTTGGTGTGATGTGTCGTACCGTATCCCGTTCGCGATCTAAAGGTTACCTGTACCATAACGAGCAAAGGTAGTTACACTCTAGAGCTCACGTAAGGGGTAAAAATGGTTTAATTTCGCGACTGGTCCAGAATCCACTAGTACCATCCAGGGTGAATGTAATTGTCCTAGACTTTACGTGAGGAGTAATTTGTCTATTAAAATCCTGTCAAAAAAGTGAGCTTTGAGCAATTAAAATTCCCGGCTTGCTCACACATGCGCCGCCTTATGGAGACATCGGGCACTACAGTCACTTGAGCTCTTTGTGGTCGTTTGGCGATGCTCACTAGTCCCACTGCTTCTTCGGCAGCCGACCGATACACTGTCTCTCTTCTTGATCGCCACATTACAGCTGATATATTACTTTTACTGTATCAGCCTAAAGCTGACCTTGCTGTATTACGTGTTCAAAATACATTGTGAAATTAAATCTTTTGTGCTTTTTCCTTCGCGAGTGCCTACCGTCATCTCCGAGCCCACTACTCTGACAGGTTATGGTCCCCACCTTTTTTCTCTCGAGAGGACGAGCCGGCCTTGCCATGAAGGGCTTCAGAGGAGGAAAGCAGTGAGTTTCTTTTTCTCAGAGTGTCTTGCTTCAGAGGTTACAAGTCATGTTTCCTGTGTCAGGGTGATAATGTGCGTGAGCGAATGGTGCAGGGCACAGTGCTATTAAATTTTTTATTGTCCGCGTGCGGCCAGCGTAGTTCAATGTAGAAGTGCGTGTTGGTGGTCGACATAATAAAAGCCCGCGCGAACACCACGATCACGCAGACCTGAGCGAGGCCGCCATTTTTTGGCGTGCACGGGCCTCGAGAGCTACATGCACGTGAACAACATACGCGAATTCTTGCTTGAAGAGGATAAATTTTTTTTCTCTACTCAGAGTACGTTTTTCTTTTCCTATTAATTTGGTGCTGTCAGTTTGTTAAAATTTACATCCTTCGAATAGGTGTATGTACCTATAGGTACGTAACTTGCAAGCAGTGCTGCAAGTTAATAAACTCCCGCAGCAGTTGACCTTCTTAACCATTGCGGAGAGGGGCTGTTAGTTTTTCTCGCGAAGCTTTGGTTTTACATGCGCGAGTGCACCTCTTTCCCACGTTTTTTTTGAGTTACACGCAGTGCGGTGACACGAGTTGGGAGGGAGCGCGTGTGTGAGATTTGAGGTTAGCGGTGCTAACAAGCCAGGTGTTGATTCCAACCGGACAGGCAGTGCCGTCCGTGTACGAGAACACGCCCACATAATAAATGCATGCATGCATATTAATTTCTTGTGTTTGGTATATTCAGATGTGTGTCAACAATAACAACGAGGGCTGTTTCTCAGATGAATGAACAAGACCAAGAGTCCCAAATAAATGTAGAGTCCAACTTTACCGAAACACCTCCAAGGGACAGTCCTCAAGATTTACCAGTTGACAACTCAGAGGAAGGTGAGAATATTTTTTTCTCCTACTTGTTCTTTCCAGAGTATCAGAGTTGTGAATCATTTATATCAGAGAGGCCTATCGAGGTGCTGGCAATATAAAACCAGCAGCTTCAACTTCTGCAAAATCCAAACAATCTAGAGACATGATTCACAATTTCAGAGTTGTCGGAGAACACGACTACCCCTCAACTAAGACCAGAGGACACTGACAACACCATTCAGCAACCAGAGATTGTTGAAATCAGGAACGTTGGAGCTGAACAAGCAGAAGTAATCCAATCTTGGGATACGGCAGTTGACAAACTTCTAATACTGTCAACAAAGATGGAAAGGGCGGCAGACGCCATGTCCAGTGCAACAGAAAAGATTCCGGAGTTTGTTCAGGCTGCCAACCTCATGACCAAAGCTCTCAATCTAGTATCCACTAAGATTGACAGCTTGACACGTGCCACAGAGTCCATCCAGGACTCTCAGAGAGCCCATAGAAACTCAGAGGTACCACCTTTATTTAACTCTACCATTAACGATCAGAGGTTTCAAAGAAACACAAATATGAGTGACTTTACTCTTCATAATAATCCTCTCCCAACTCCCTTTGGTAACATTAATCAGAGACCATATAATCGAGATAGCTTAGATGACACTGATAGACTGGATAATCTAAATAATTCACTAGACAATCTCAGAAAATCAATTGATTCAAATAAGAATACTTCTAAACCTTTCTTTAAGAAAAACTACATTCTGACTCAAAAAGGGTCTTTCAATGTTTGGTTTGATCACTTAACTTCAGAATTAAAAACTAATGATCTTTCAGATTTCATAGAAAATAGTAACTTAATTGATAAATACACTCCAGATGAAATCGAATTTAAGAAGAGTCTAGTTAGAGAATTGCTAATTAATCACTTAGATGAATATTATCACAAGAAGGTACTAAACATTGTAGACCCTAGAGAAATTATAAATAAATTAAAATCCTTTAGAATGGCTGAAGCCAATATAACAGCCTCGTCAGTCAGAGCCAAACTATATCGTCTTAAAATTACAACGAAAGAGAAAGTCAATGACTTCATTGACAGGTTTGATCATATAGTAAGAGAGTATGAAAACTCAGACGGTATGGTACCTCTGACTGAGGAGGAAAAGAGGTCAGCCTTTTACCAAGCCGTGGCAGACAAATTCTCAGAGCTACGTACAGCTAACATGGTTAGGCGACAGACCACAAGTACTGAGATGAGTCTTGAAGAAATGAAGACAAGTCTAATACAATTGCAGGCAGAAAGAAATCAATCAGAGTCGAATTCAGAGCAGGCCAGGGCCAACATGGCTACAGGCAGTCAGAGAGTCAACGATCAGGCGAATAAGGACACTAAGTGTTTCAGATGCAACAAACACGGTCACAGACTCCTTAACTGTCCTCTAAGCCAGTATGGACTCTGGTACTGCTTTTACTGCCAGGATTTCGAGTACCACAAGGGAGATGCATGCCCAAACAGGAATCATCCTAAAGATGGGTATGTTAAAAATAATTCTAATGACAATAATAATAATAGAGGTAAAAACAATAGCAAGCTCAGAGGTAATGGTAGAGGCAAAGGCAACGGTAATTTTAAATTCAGAGGTAATGGCCGTGTAAATAAAAAGCAAGGTAACATGAGTACACAAGCCAAACAACAACAGGCAACCAAATTTAAGGCTATGTTAACAGGTAATCATATAGATAACTACAGAGGTAAAACTAAAATATCTTTTATTGCTGATTCCGGAGCAACTCATCACGTTGTTAACAAAGGAATTATTCTAACAAATTTTAAGAAATGCAACAATGAATTCATCAGAAGTGCAAATAAAAACGACTCAGCCAACATCATTATTGATGGGAAAGGCGACTTAATTTTTAAACTAAATTTAAATGAACAGTTTAAATTAACAAACGTGATAGCTGCGAAGGACATCTCCAACAACTTGATCTCCTTAAGACAATTTGCCGATGCCGGTTTAGGCATCTATTTAGATGACAAATATCTAGAAATCTTTGACAAGGAAACGGGAAAAATATATATCTCAGGCGTATATGAGAAACCGAACTGGATAATAGAGTTAGAAGTTGAAAATCAAACCACTGCAAAAACTAGAAATTGGAATAAATATCAGTTCTCGGCACAGATAGTCTCACTGGATGAGTTCATGACACAATCTCAGACTGATATTGTAGATATTCTCAACAGTCAAAATTCAGAGTCTATGGATGAGTCTATCAGTCCAGAGAATACCCAGTCTGAGATTGGGAGGGAGAAGAAAGATGAACTCAATACTTCAGAAGAGCAATCAGAAGATCATACTTCACTAAAGCCAAACAATCTGTTACTGAAAAAAATCTACATTGATTTAGACAACAGCAATTCAGATGAAATCGACAAAATTATATCAGATGTAAGTTCCAACAACATTATTAACATTCAGAAGAAGTTAGACGAAGGCCTGATGTGGCACATTAAATTGGGACACGCATCTTTAAAATATTTAAAACAATTACAAAAATCTGAGGACATTTTATCTAAAGTAAAATTCACAGATTCAATAATGGACTGTGAAACATGTAAATTAGCCAAAATGGAAAAATTACCTTTCACAGAGGTTAGAGTCAAAGCCAACAGACCATTAGAAAGAATACATGTAGATACAATGGGTCCTATAAAACCAGACTCGTACCCAGGAGATAACCGTTTTATCATAGTCCTTATAGACGATTATTCTAGATATGCCAAAGCATACTCCGTCAGAAACAAAAACCAGGCAGGTGACTGTTTGGAAGAGTACCTCAAACATGTCAGAAGTTTATTAGGTACAGATGCCAAGGTTTGTTATATTAGAACAGACAATGGAACAGAATTTACTGGAGGAAAGTTCTCAGAGGTTATGGAAAAAGAAAAGATAGTGGGGGAATTCTCTCCACCACACACTCCTGAACTAAATGGCACTTCAGAGCGATTCAATAAATCTATTCAATGGAAAATTAGAGCACTCATGCTCGATTCAGGACTACCCGCTAGTATGTGGTCATTGGCTACTGAAGTGGCCACTCATATATACAACAGAACTCCTCATTCAAGTATTAATTCCGAAACACCAATAAGTAAAATGAATCAGAATCAGAAGTCCCATTTAGACAAAATCAGACGCTTTGGGTGTTTAGCATACGCTAAAATCCCAATAATCAAAACAAAATTCTCAGAGAGAGCACTCAAAGCCATAGTAGTAGGTTTTACCCTAACAGGGTACCTGTTATGGCATCCAGAGACCAAGAAATTCTTCATTTCTCGAAATGTCAAGTTTAATGAAAAAATAGTATATAAAGACATCAGAAGAAATACAAAACTCAATGAAACCGAGATCTTGGAAAACTGGAATTTCCAATCAGAGACAGAAAATGACAAAACTCTACATTCTGAAGACATACTAGAACCTAATCATGCACACGAGTCTAGCAAGGCTAGGAGAGGCCGACCAAAGAAAAGAGAAGCTGATCAGACGACAGCAGAGATCGTGCCAAAGACGAGAAAGCTGCCAGACAGAACAGCTAGAATTAACAGACCAACATGGTCCCACTTGAGGTTGGCGCAAAAAGATACGTCTCCTGACATCAATTTCACATTAAAAGGAATTACCGACTTAGAAAACATAAATTCAGAGGATGAACTGACTTATGCTTTTATAGCCAGAACAAATCAAGATCCTATCAACTTCAGAGAAGCGGTTAATTCAGTTGATAAAGAAAAGTGGTTGGAAGCAATCACTGATGAACTCAAATCCATGGAATCTAACAACGTGTGGGAAATAATAGATCGACCCTCCCTGGACAAAAATGGTATTAAAGTACACACGATAGATTCGAAATGGGTATTCAAAAGGAAACTGGACTCAGAAGGTAAAATAACTTACAAGGCAAGATTAGTAATCAGAGGTTTTAAAGACAGGAGGGAGTACGAACTCAGAGAAACTTATGCCCCAGTATCTAGACTGGCAGTTATCAGAGCAGCACTAGCTATAGTCAACAAATACGACCTAGACGTCTGTCAGATGGATGTGAAGTCCGCTTTCCTAAATGGGACACTAGAAGAAGACATATTTATGGAAATCCCAGACGGAATAGAGTGCGAAGGAGAATTCAAGAGCAAAAAGGTCTGTCGGCTTAAAAGATCGATTTACGGTCTTCGAATCAGCCCAAAGAGATGGAATAAACGTTTCACCGAAGAAGCATTAAAACTAGGCTTAGAAAAAGACATAAACGAACCTTGTCTTTTTACTTGGCGTAAAAATAATCAGATGATTATTCTAGTACTGTATGTAGATGATATCCTGTTAGCTGGAAATGACGCAAGTAGATTAATGGCAATCAAATCTAAACTCTGTACAACATTTCAGATGAAAGATTTGGGAGAACCAAAACAGTTTCTAGGTATAAAAATTTCCAGAGACCGAAGTCAAAGAATTTTAACACTTTCCCAATCAGAATACACGAAGAAAATTTTGGAAAGATTCAACATGCTTGATAGCAAACCTCAGAGAACTCCAATGGTAACTAGACAAGTAAAGAATAGAGAACTTAAAAATTCAGAGCTTACTACTGCAGGAGTAGCGCAGCGGACAAAAGCTCCATATCGAGAGGCAATTGGAAGTCTTCTCTATCTGGCAGGAGCTACCAGACCAGACATTTCATTTGCAGTTAATTACCTATCTAGAAGACAATTGGAACCCACTGAAAATGATTGGAAAGATGTCAAAAGAGTGTTCAGATACAACAGAGGTACTTTAGATATGAGTTTGATATTCAGAGGAAAAGAAGATAACCTATATGCCATGACTGATACCAGCTTCAGAGACTTGGAGGATTCTTCAACAACAGGAGGTTTTATTATAAAGCTTTTTGGAAACACTATAAACTGGAGAAGCCACAAACAATCGTATGTAACTCTCTCTACTTGTCAAGCTGAATATTTAGCTATGAGCGATGCTTGTCAAGAATTGATTTCTCTGGACAAGGCGTTCAGAAATATGATAGGAAAAACTTTATACCCAGTCACAATTTGGTGTGACAATCAATCAGCAATGAAATGCACCCAAATGGATGGTTGTTATGGATTGAAAAATTTCGACGATGACATAAAGACAATTCAGAGTCAATTAAAAGAGAGAGAAACCACGGGTTCAAAGAGCCACATGGCAAATACTCATGGAGATTTTATTAAATTCTGTGTGCAACAAGACAAAGTTAAAGTTCAGTGGATCACGTCTTCAGAGAATGAAGCCGATATAATGACAAAACCGTTGCCCACAGAAAGCCACAATTACCTCAGAGATAAAATACTAAATATGTCAAACCAGGAAGACAATGATTCCATTGAGACCACCGAATCATAACTTCAGAGTAAAATCAATCTTCAGATGTAACTTTCAGAGTTGATTGGATCTCAGACGAAATTTTAGATTGACTCAAAGGGAGGGAGTGTCAAGAAAGTGAGCTTTGAGCAATCAAAATTCCCGGCTTGCTCACACATGCGCCGCCTTATGGAGACATCGGGCACTACAGTCACTTGAGCTCTTTGTGGTCGTTTGGCGACGCTCACTAGTCCCACTGCTTCTTCGGCAGCCGACCGATACACTGTCTCTCTTCTTGATCGCCACATTACAGCTGATATATTACTTTTACTGTATCAGCCTAAAGCTGACCTTGCTGTATTACGTGTTGAAAATACATTGTGAAATTAAATCTTTTGTGCTTTTTCCTTCGCGAGTGCCTACCGTCATCTCCGAGCCCACTACTCTGACAAATCCGTAGCGTGATATTCACCGATACCGAATTTCGAACCGAGAGAAAAAGGAAAAAAAAAACTTTTACTTTAATATTACAATTTGACTTACTTTTATTTCTGGTCTTAAAGTATACACTGGAGTTAACCAGCGAGGGGTGTCCGAGATCGAAGATTGAAAACCGCACTCGTGGAGGACCGTGAGATAGCAGAGGCGGACTCTAGCTACTTAGTCAATCGTTCGAGGGTGAAAATTAAACTCTCATTTTCCTGTGCCTTCAGGCCCTTTTTGTAAGGAGCTACTCCTTGTAACTTGTTTTGTAAGGACCTCGGTGACGCGCTGGTTCGATAACAACGCAGGAGAGCTTGCCGGGGGAAAATCTTGCAAAAAAGATAATAGCCAAAAATCTCATTGGCCAGAACTGCTCTAGTTCAGCCACTCAGAAATTGGTACTTCCCACATCCGGTTCACTCTCCTCTTTGCGCTAAGAGAAGGGAAGGGAAGAATATTCACTTGCTCATGCCCTTCCTTTCCCATTTACAAAGAAGTTGACAGAATTTCAATATATTTTAACCTTAACATTACGACAAGATATTGTTAATATTTACTAATGCTAAACATCGGTTGTTCGTTCAGCTAAGCTCATTGCAAAAAGAGCGGTGAAAATTGCTTAATAATTCGGTTGATGCTAGGGTGAACAAACGATCGGTGAGTTGTTAATTAAGGTGGCTCCAGCACCTAGTGCCGTATCAAAATGGGGAGACTAAAAATTAATCATTATTTTCTTTAAAATATGGTATAAAATTATCGTAGAGACTGTTGTAAGCCATATTCTACATTTTATCTGTTACT